AAAAAAATTAAGTCAAATTTTTATTAAAAAATATTAAAATATTATATTTTTAAAATATAAATTAAAATATTTTTTTATCTATCTTATTAAAATTATATAATTTTAAAATAATTTTTCACTTAATTTTTGAAAAGCAGCGGAAAAACACTAACCTTTAAAATAAATAACAAGTAAAAATGATATTTTAACCGTTATAATTTTCATGACATAACTTCCAACAAAGTCCTTTTTTATTATTATTATTATTAATATGAATTGCACACATTTTATTTCATATAATAACAACAGGATGGAAATAGATAAACGAGTACAAATAGATTTATCTCCTGCTACTAAATGTGCAATATCAATTGGCACCTCTGCAATCCAGTAGTCATCAGCCTCTGCATGAAGAGAAAAGATGATATTTTCTTCTTATGTTTATTAAAGAGAAAAACTTTCTCTCCAATTTTTTAAATATGAAACTTAAGTGATAATTTTTTTTAATTTTCTTTAACATTAATTTTTTCTTGGAATTTTTTAAATAAAAACAAGAATTAGTGTAACAATTACACTAATATAAATTAATCCTATCTCATTATATAATAACATATTGTGGCTGTAAACTTTAGTACCCATTTTAACTGAATGCTCTTTTACATTTATAACAAAAAAATTAATTTTTTTTAGATAGTTCTTATTAATTAATTTCATTTAAAAATTAAAAAAAAAATTGAGCTATGAAACCAGCAGGAGAAATGAACTTTAATACATTTTATTGTTGTTGGCACATCCAACTATATATGTCAATGAATAAAACAATTTAATGATCACAATTCATCATACACACTTTTGATTAATTCAAAAGAAAAATAAACTTCCACCATGGTGTTTCCTGGACATAAAGTCAGCTAGTTCAGACATCAGCCCAAATATCCTCACCGAACAATCTGATCCTTCTCTTCACATCAACCATAAAAATTGTCCCCTCCGCCATAGATTTTTCCTTGAGAACCATCTTGTCATTTGCCCTAACACCTTTCTCGCGAACAAATTCGTCCCAGCAAACAGAAACAACAGTTCCAGTGGTCTCGTCATGGTGAGCAGAGCAGGGGAAACTCCAGGCTTTTCCAGTATTATCTAGCACATTCATGTACAAATCCCCTTCTTCTGGTATACTTGATCCCATAGAACAAAAAAGTATCGATAAGTTTTTATTGACATCGGATTCAGTTAGTAACTTTGAGAACATTACTGCACGTTGATGTTGCTAAAAAGTAACAATGTTCTTGTCGCAGGTTGGATTTCGATTCTGCCTGAGAGACAAGTGGAACGGGGAAGTTGTGGAGGTTGAAGATTGAATTTGGATATAGATTTATAGTTCAATTTACGCGTATAACACAAAGCTAAGTCTTCTGGCCGAACAGTCGAAGAAATTTCAAGGATGATCCGAAGAAGATATAACAGAATCATTCATAATTCTTAACTTCCAATTGCCTTGTAATATTTGCACATCTTCACTTTCGATTCGTTCAAGGAAAGAACATTGACTTGGTTGAACCATGTTTTGTTAATAAATAATGATAAATGAACTAAAATTTAAGATTAAAATTTAATACTAATGAGGTAATATACGTTATTTTAAATATTAAAAAATAAATTTTATATTATTTAATAATTAATTTTTTAAATTTTTAAATTTTTTTAAAATTTATAATATTATATATATTAATTAATTTGATAATATAATGTATACCACATCATTAATTTT